TTTTTTTTTTCAAAATGTTAAGTTTCTTTGCGTATAGTCTTCATATGGTAGATGAGTTTTTAATTAAATATTTAAGTGTCTTATTTATTTTAAGTCAATAAATATTAATATATTCATCTACTTAAAAATTGTTTCAGATGGATGCAATATCCACATCAAGACTAAAAGAACAATTAGATATCAATCAAAAAGATTTGTTGTCAATTAAATCGTCATTGAGTAAGTTTTACAATAATTTACACTGTAATTTTATTTATTAATGTTAATGTATAATAATTGATTTAAAAACAAATTATTTATAAATTCTTAAAAAAAGTATATTTTTTGATTTTTCTTATAACCAATTTTTAAGAATTTATTTAATTGTTGTTGGTAAAATCAGGAAAGTTCGTAGAAAGTATTTTAGGAGGTCCAAAACTCATTGAAGACAATTTAAGTTGTGGAGGGCTCCTCCTCACATCATTAAATTACAGCATAATATTAGTCATTGATTTGATCTTTTATTAATGTAGTCACATTTTTAATAACTAAATAATTTATAATAGATTCACAGCAATTAAGAAGTTTAATTAATTTTTATATACATGTAATTTTACAGTAATTTTAAATTAAACACTTTTATTTATTTTACGTTTTAGAAGAAACACAAGAAAAATGTTTAATATATCAAGAGGAAATAAAAAAATTCCAGCTTGATATTGAATCGAATCAAAATGCATTGAAAGAAAAAGACAAACAAATCAATGAAAGTAAGTTTATATTTTAATAAATCTTGAAAAAATACTTAATATTAATGTTGTAACTATCATTATAGTATCTAATAAAAAGAATAATGAAATCGTTGAGTTGGAAAAAAGAATTCAAAAACAAGCAAACGATCTTCATTTACAATTTGATAAAGAACTAGTTAGATTAAAGAATGAATCTGAAGCAGATAAAATGAAATTGATACTATCTCATGATCAGCAAATTGTTGCTTTACAACAAAGTAGCAAACTTGAAATATTTCAAATTAATAAATCAACTACAGAAAAATTGTCAGAACTTACTGAAAAAATTAAGTTGTTAGAATGTGAAAGAAATGAAATGAAATCTGAAAGAGATCGTTTACATGAAGAAAATATAAGACTTATTGAGGCTCGAAAAATTGAAGTATGTTATTATTATATTATATAATATTTTAATTAGAACTATTAAACTACATAATAATTTTTTTTTATTAGAATCCTAGTGTTAGTTATCAAAAACTTTGTGATGAAGCAGAATCATTAAGAACTGTTTTAGAGCTTAAAAGCTCTGAAATGCAAGAACTTCGTAAACAAAATGAAAAACTGCTGACAGAAATTGATGATTTACCTACATTGATACAAAAATTAGATGCAGCTCAATCTCGTGTTGAAGATTTGAATGTTCAATTACAAAGAAAAAATGAAATTGAAATGTAATTATCTAAGTATTAAACTATAATAAAGTTTTTTATTAAACTTAATTATTATTTTATTAGGGTAAAAAATTAAAATTCCAAAAGTCCCATTTTAAATTCATTACAGTCTAACCTAAATTAATATATTTTTTCTAAAATGGAATTTAAAATTTACTTATATAATAACAACCATGTATAATATATTAATATTATATTAATGTATAATATATGTTATTGGATGTCCTCTTAACTACACTAATTTTACTCTAAAAATTTCCAATATACATTGATGTAATGCAGGTAAAAACTAGGACAGCAACATATTTGATCTTTAAAAACTTTTCATGAATCATTTATCCAATACGTTTTTTCTTTAGGCAACTATGTTTGGAAAGAGATAAAATGGCTCGAGAAATTGATTTAGAAAAACAAAAGAAAAAACGTTTATCTTGTTATAATGAAGAACTTCAATGGAAATTAAAAAAAAGTACTGAAGTAGCTAATCATTTAGCTGTTACAACTAAACGTTTGAGTATGTTTTAATTTTAATTATATTTTATTGATTTTTGTATGAATATTTATTTATGCTTTAAGGTCAAACTCCCCAAGACATAGCCGCTATGAAAGAAGCTCAAAATAATTATAACAAACTTTGCAAAGAAAGTTCTAATTCAGAAAACAGGTATTTACTTAAGAGTATAAAATCTTAACATATTTATTTACTTTCATTAATAAAAGAAACCTCTCAAAAAAATTTTCTATTCTAGTGGTGATGAAGAAACTTTCAATAACCAATTTGATATTGATCACTTGGAAGCACCAGCCAAAATTATGGGTGTCATGAAAAAGAATGATTCTCTATCATATGTTTTTGAAGTGGAAGAAGAACCATCCGAAATAGCCACTCGTATGGTTCGCAGAGCTAGTAGTTTAAAATCAATGAGCAAAAATAGTATACATACACGCGAGTCAAAAGGTGAAAAACGAAGTAGAGCTAGTTCGCAATCATTGTCCAATACATCAGTGGACTTAGATTCTACTTATACTGGAAATCTTGATGATGTTTTTGGTCCCAGTAATAGTAATAAATACATGAGTGATTGCTTTACATTTAGTTCAGATTCATCAACTTCATCACCTGAACATATTGGATACGATCAAACAAGAATTGCTTCTTACATTGTCAATAATATTCCAGCCAATAAAAAGACTAAAGGCAATGGGCTGACTATTTAAAATTCTTTAGTACATTTTTTAATTTTTTAACCAGCTTTTAATTAGTTGTGCCAAAAAGTACACTTGAATATTTAATTTAAATCAAAATTTAATGTAAATTTATTGCTTCTTAATTGAATTATTTTTTATTTATAAAAAGTGTTATTTTTTCTTTAGCAACATTTAAGACTGAATCCTTTAATAATAATTTGACCAAATCTTGGGGAATATATTTATGTAATAATTTTATTTTAATATTTTATTTGATAGTTTGAAATTTGTAATTATAAAAAAAAAAAGTTATTTTAGTAGTTCTTAAATGTTTTGCTATACTTGTAAAATATTTTTTATAAACCTTCTTGTGACAAATTTTAGTATTTTAATTTGTTTAATTGGTTAATAGAATTAAAAATAATGTGTTATTTTTATCTTGACCTGTATTTGGTTGGTAAATTTCTAATAATGTATACAATATTTTACTTTCATTAAATATGAATAATTTTGGAAATATAAATTTAATTTAAGAAATGATACAATATATTTTTTATTATTTAACAAGATAAAAAAAGTGTATAGGTTCATTTACACAGTTTTTTTCACAATAATTTTATTAAATTATTCAATTTATTCTTCTTCTACTTTAAAAAAAAAATTACTTTCAATTTTCTAAGTACAATCTGAATGTATATAAAAGTTGCCCAAAGTGTAACACATTTTTTTATAAGCATGTTTTGTTGTTTGTTTTTAACTAGTTTTAGTATTTGTGATACATTTATGAATATGTACATATGAGTTCTGTTTGGTTATTAATTTGTTTGAATTCTTTAATTGTTACAAAGTTTTATATTGATATTGTTGGACTTTTGGGTCTCGCATGTATATTTGTTCATTTTATTGAATATTTTATTTATGTATTTATATTTATATTGTAAACTGAATCCTTTTATTTTTAAAATAGTTTGTTAATTTATGTACTTATAATTAAAATATATTAAATTATTTGTTTGAAGTTCCAGTACCAATTATAATTATGAACAACAATTAAAAGTGTTTTTAAATTATGAATACTATTTGATGTAATATATATTTAAAATTAAAAAATGTAACTTGTTATTAATTGTTTTGTTAACAGATGGCAAAATTAATTTAATTTCTATTATTTATTCTTGACTGTGTTAGCACAAACATCGAAAAGTTAACTTAGTTTTTTTTGGTTTAATTTTCTTGGATATTGAAAGTTATGGCCTGTATTGGATGCCAAAAATTAAATAACATAATTTTAGATTAGCAAATGTATACTCTACTACTACTATAATTTTATTGTTTGGATATTTATTGCACTTAGGAGAATTAACTAACACACTCCTACTTCCTATTTTTACTATTTCCTCATGATTCAAATATCAAAAACGCTCATCTTATTTGAATAATAACTTAAAAATAATACCTCTATAAACAAGAATAAATGATATTTTTATATGCTATTACAAAATAACAGTAATATGAGTTTATACAATAAACATGTTTTTCTATTGCTATAAACAGTGTATTCAGATACTGTTTTTTTGTAGAAACTTGCGTGCTTTAAAGTTGGATTTCTCAATATTAAAAAGAAACTCGATTATTATTACTAACATTTTTATTCAATATAGATTTTTTTGGCGATTGGATTTTTATAGCTATTATAGGGTAACATTGCCATAGAATGGTCACATGCAATATCAAACGCACTTAACACTATTGATTGTTAATTTTTAACTAAGTCATTATAAAGTTTATTTTTACAAATTGTAGTGTTAGATTCTATAGCCAATAAATGAAATATCTCAATTAAGTCCTATTAGATCACGATTTTTGTTAAAATATAATTAGCTGTTCAGTCACTGGAAAATTCTAACTATGGATAGAATATTTTATTTTTTAAAAACTACATTTTACTCAGTATAACTATAGTATTGATTATTGTGGTATTATTTTTAGATAATGTTATATGTGAAACATTTTTCTATGTAAATAAAAAATAATGATGAATTTTATTTAATTTTTAGTCCATCTTGGTAATCGAAATTTTAGAACGATATTTTCATTTTGTTTCGGAACAATACTAAAATATTTTTCAAACAACTATAATTCAATAGAAAAATAATTAAATTATTACTTTCAAATGAACGTTCTACTTAAGATATTTGTATATAAAAAAAAAATTCTAGATTAACTTTATACAAAAAGTTGACTTTATTAAAAAAGAGATAATTTTTAAAACTATGTAGAGCAAGCTACAGACTAAAAACTGTAAATCTTATTTTCATTAGGATCAGTGTAATTTTAAAAGCGTTTAAGGAAAAAAAAAGACGAATTGTACATTTTTTGATTTAAAGTCAAATTACTCATAGAAAAAATATTTATATACTTTCTTATTATTTACATCACAAAATTTAAATATTAGTTTATTAGATAAAAATGGGACATTTTTTGTAGAAAATGTAATTTTTTTTATTCACATCATTTTTATACTTTTAATATTTAATGAGCTATTAAAAATTATAAATATTGTCTATCTAAAAGAGTTAAATTAAAAATTAAATAAAAATTGCTTTAATAATATTGGCTTGGTTTAAATTTTATATTAACCATTCTAAGACTAAATATAATAAAAAACCGGTAGTTGGTATACCTAATAATCAGTTTTTTTTTTACATTTAATAAAAAATTATTAACTTTTTAAAATTTAATGTATTAAAAATAAAATTATTACAATTTTGATTCAAGTTTACTATATTTTGAATGGTCTATTTTTTCAGTATTTAGTATACCTTATTTTTTTTTTGGAAATGTTGAGCAACCCTAGATTTGTTGGTTACCACTCACTGATACCTAAGATTTATGTGTATGAAGTTAGAAATTCCTTTATAGCAAATATAAATAGAACATACACAGCTAGAGGGCGACAATTAGTTTAAAAAAAATGTTATATTATATTAAACTTTTGACAAAGTTTGGAGGAGTATTCATTTAAAAATTATAATCCAAATAAAAGTTTATAAAATTTCCTATCGAATGGCATAAGTCCCAAAGGGTATTTGAGTATCCAAGTAACCCGTAGGAGAGAAATTGCTGGGCAATATATCCGATAGTAAACACTATTTATTCTCAGCCTGGCGCTCGGTATTTTGTACTTTTGAAAAAGTTCCAATGCGTGTTCCCTTAATAATTATATATCAATGAAAAGCTTATAAAATTTCCTATCGAATGGCATAAGTTTCAAAGGGTACTTGAGTGTCCTAGCAATCCGTATGAGAGAAATTTCTGGGCAATTTTCGCGATAGTCACACTATTATATAGCCGTGTAATCGCTTTTACTATCGACCAGCGCGTTTTTTTTACTTTTGAAAAAGTTCCAATGCGTGTTCCCTTAATAATTATATATCAATGAAAAGCTTATAAAATTTCTAATCGAATGACATAGATAACAGAAATTGCTGGTAAAAATTTGAGGTAGTAAACAATATAGAGCTGTGTGATAATTAAAATTAAGTTTAATAGTCATTTTTCAGATAAAAATTTTTTTATTATAATTATTTGGTTAAATTTATAATTATAAAATTGCTGCCAAAAGTCAAATGATTTTGTAAAAAATTAAAATATATAACTGTTTTGTTTTTTACATTTAAAAAAGTATCTAAACATTAAGCAGCAAAAATGGAAAAAATTGGAATTTCTTTCTACGTTTTAAAATTACAATAACTTTTAAATAACTATGAAAAATAAATTGTAAAATTTAAACTTAATGTATTACAGACAACAACCTTTCTTTTGAAATACTATTTATGAAAATTTAATAGAAAACTTATTAACTTAGCTTAGGAAGGGTTTGATCAAGATACTTATGTATGTCAAATATTTTTTTATTTAAGNAACTTATTAACTTAGCTTAGGAAGGGTTTGATCAAGATACTTATGTATGTCAAATATTTTTTTATTTAAGTTTTTGTAAATATTTAATAAAGATATAAATATTAATTATATGTGATGGAAAAAATCATAAGATAGATTTGGAATTAGAATCAAAATCCACCTAAATAATGTAGTTAGCAAAATGACTGGTCCGTGTAAGAGGTGTTTATAAAAAGAAAATTATTTAAGATAGATTTAATGTTTAAATAACATATAACATTATATAAATGAAGCATTTTTAAAGTTTAATTAATTTTAACAAATATTATAAATATTAACAATAATAACACCTTAATTTACTGGTGAGAAGGACTGACTAAATTATTGACTAGGATTAGACAATTAAATACATTATTTACATACATACTAACTTGACACTATTATTAAAATCTGAGTAATAATATTCAATATTTATAAATGTTGAATTATTTTAGTATGATAATTAAGCATAAGTAAAATAAAATATCTTTTAACAGTGGTGAAAATGTTGTTTGTTTCACTATGATTATCTCCCTTTATTTTTGGAAAAATGAAATAAAGAAAAACTGTTTGAGTAATTGATTTTTTTTTATTTGTTGACTAAATTAAAAAAAAATAGTAAACAAAAGACCAAAAATGAATAATGAATATTTTGGTAAAAAGTAGCAACTCTTTACTGAACACATAGTATACAATTTTTTATAAGTATATTAATATTAAGTAATACAACTAGTTAAATATACAATGTAATTTCATTTTAACTAAAAATAGTTAATCAAGTTATTTTTCATTATATTTTAAGTTTTTTTTTAAAACCTATTACTTATGCCAACAAGTCTAGAATAAAGGGGGGTAAATAAACTTGAAGAACTTATGAAGCCTATCTCAAATTTTACTTTTATATTTTTTTCCTAATCACTTTTTTTATGGTAGCAATTTTAATAAGGACAAACCACTCAGCAGCTCATATTAGTCTGTGTGCCAAAAAGGATAGGAAAACTTACATAACTTATTGAAATGGTATTGAACTATAGTACTTTTCCATTGTGACATGTGTTTCCAATTAAACTACATAGGTCACCTAAATGACTACATAATTTCAAATATGTAAATAAATATATCTATTTAAAAAATCAAAGAAAAAGTACAATTTTTAATTAGTATGCTCTATAAACTTATTTTCTTAATACTTAATCATGTTCTGGGAAATATTGTTTTAAGTTAGGATAAATTTCATCAGCAAGTTCTTTTGATGCTGCTGCAAGTATTCTGCGGTTCATCAATTCAAATTCACAACCTGTAAAAAATAACAAATATTAAAAGATTTTTAAATTTAAAGAAATGTAAAATAAAAATACCTGCAGGGTCTATTATAACACCTCCTGCTTCTTTAACAATTATATTTCCAGCAGCCATATCCCATGCATGAAGTCCCATTTCAACATATAAATCACAGGCACCTTTAGCAACCATAGCTAAATTCCAAGCAGCTGATCCCCCTGAACGTATTCTTAAAAATGTAAATTATTTTCAAATAAAATTTTCAACTTAACAATAATTTATTACTAAGCAAATTTTTGCCAAATAATCTCGTTCTATAATACAATGTTGAAAAATTAGCCAATGCTAGAAAAATTACTTAATATCAGATTCTCAAAATTTTTATTTCAATAAAAGAATATGGCGACATTATTCAGAAAAAATTATTTGCGAACTTAAGAAATTTTTTTAGCACTTCATGAGAGTTTAAAAATTTCAGGAAAAACGCTCATTGCTACTAGCATATTTTTGTTTAAAAACTGGAATTTTTACAAAGTCTGCCCAAAGATATTTCAAAGGCATCATGAATATTTTGATGAAATCTATTGGTATTTGATTGAGTTATAAGCTTTTTTTTTAAGCACACTTGCATAGTTTTTGAAGGATATGATTTTGGTTTGTGTATTTCAATTTTGTTTATGTTAGTTTATGTAGTTTTCACTAATATTATAATATATAAAGATTGTTTTTAATGATTATTATGTTTTTTTTCGTTTACATATTGGGTAATAATAATAATTAGTAAGTTATTATGAAGTTTAAATAGTGAATACACCTAAGTATTTTGTAGTCATATTATTATTATTATTTAATTTACAAATGTGGACTATTTTTCTGTTTAACTACTTCTAGATTAATAATTTTCCTGCAAAACACTTATTATGCTCAGCATAGTTTGTTACTCCTACTGAAATCAGTGGCTAATCTTTTCAAGACTTAAAGGGAAAACATTTTAAGTCATTTTTACATATTGATTTATCTTAATTTCTTAAATATATATATTGGTTAGATCCTAACTGTTACTTGTATTTAAAAGTTCTTTATTATTTCAACCAACTATATAAGTGTGATCAAATAAGGTTAAGAAAATAAGAAAATTTTCTTACCCATGTGCATTTTTGTTTAGATAAGTAACATTGTGGTTAACTATAGATCGAAACTCATCAGTTCTAACTGATCCATATTCAATTGAAACCAATGAGTCTTTTAAACCTATAAAATGTTATCATGTTAATAGTAGTAGCATATTATAGTATAGTAGTAAAATTATCAACTTACATTTTGAATTACTTACATGGATAGGCTCATCATTTAGGAATGCACCTTCACCTTTTATAGCTCGGTAAAACATATCCAATATTGGGTTAAAAATAACTCCTAATTGGGCCTCACAATCAATAACTAAACCAATAGATATACAAACATTTGGGTAACCGTGTACGAAATTTGTTGTACCATCAACAGGATCAATAACCCAAGTAGGTTCATTTGTTAAATTTTCTTTAATACCAGCTGCAAATGATTCTTCACCAATGAATCTTAAAAATAAAATTAAAATATTGAGCACTATAATAATAATATGAAATATATAATATAATTTTAATAGTATAAATTAATGAATGGAATTTACTTATGTGTTGGATATTTATGTTTTATTCCTTCAATCAGCATTTTTTCCACCTCTTGATCAGTTTCAGTCACAAAATCGATGCTGGAAGCTTTAGTTTCAATCATTTTCTTTTGGTTTATTCTTGTTTTAATCAGCTACAAATATTACAAAAATAATAAATCAAACATTAATGTAGCAAATTTTCAATTTAATAGGCTACTTTAACGTTTTAGCTTAGCAAAAGATAAATGTCCACTTAAATTATAAAAATTAATAAAAATTTATATTTATTATAATGAAATTAAAATTATTCTTTTATAGAAGATGAAATAGTATAAACTTATTTAAAACTTTAATACTTTTCCTGCTTGTCGTGAAAGTCTTGTAACAAGTTCCAAACATTCATGTAAGTTGATAGAATTATTTAAAGCCATTATATATGTAGTATGTTTAACAAAAACTTAACGTTTCAAAGTTTCGAGTAGCTAATGTAACAAAAATAATTAACAAATTAATTTAGTTTGGCGTTTTCAAATATTTGTTATAGATTACTATAATTTAATAGTATTCGTAAATATTTAGAAATCTTTTTAAGAGATTATGTCTATTACAGTTAGTGATTCGCCAATGAAGGTTTTTTTTCACGACTATGAAGCAATTCCTTTATAGCAATTTCTAATCAAATATAATTAGAATATACACAGCTAGAGGGCGTCAATTAGTTTAAAAAAATGTTATATTTTGACAAAGTTTGGAGGAGTATTCATTTAAAAATTATAATCCAAATAAAAGTTTATAAAATTTCCTATCGATTGGTATAAGTTAAAAATGGTACTCGAGTGTCCAAGTAACCCGTATGACAAAAATTGATCGACAAAATTTGAGGTAATAAACAATATATAGCTGTGTGATCACTGTTACTATCGACAAAAGCTCGGTTTTTTGTACTTTTGAAGAAGTTCCGAGGCGTGTTCACTTAATAATAATATATTATCGAATGGCATAAGTCCCAAAGGATACTCGAGTGTCCAAGTAACCCGTATGCCAGAAATTACTGAGCAATATATTCAATAGTAAACAATATGTATTCTCAGACCGGTGCTCGAATTCACTATCAATGTCGTTAATTTAGTTTTATTGAGAATCTTCACAGAAAATAAGCGAAAATACTAAACCTCGCCATTATATATCTCCCATACGATTATAGTTATGATAAAATGTTTTTATATTAATAAAATTAAATAGGGACTTCTAAATTATTTTCATTATGCTATTATTCTTTATAATTGCTGTACCTACTGAAAAAAAAATTATATTAATAATTAGGCTTGGAGACTTGTGAAAAATACATACATAAATATTTAAATAGTGTAACACGGTTATGAGTGCACTCCTTTTTATTAATTTACTATATGTTGTTTAGTATAAACAAAGGTATAATTCATTCACTCCTTAACTCTACTTTTTGTTGATATTAAAGTAATATATACTTAATAAAATACTTTACGGATATCACACTTCTATCTTGAAATATAGCATTATTTTATATTTTAAATATTCAAGATACTACTGAGTAGTCTAATAAAGTTCATCTCAAAATACACGAATAAATCAAAGTAATTAATATGTTATATTCTTAAAACAAAAATTATCTTAATTAACCATTCTTGAACTTTGATTTATTGTTAAACAAAATAATAAATTTTGCTATGTTCGCATCCATACGATTCGGTATGCATACGTATCCTTTAAATTGTTTGAATAGTCTATTTTAAAAGTGACAACTTTTAAAATAACATCTTTTATATAAAGACTGAAGTTGTTTTAATTTCTAAAATTATTAAGATAGCCATTCAAGAGGATAAAATATTTTTAAGTACTTAATACCTTGTTCATTAAAAATGTCCAAAATTTTTAAAAACTGAGTTTACTAATTTTTAATATTTGGTGCTAAGTATATACATTAATAATTAATAATTCTATCGTGTTGTTATTATCTATGTACGTATAAACAAGAATATACTATATTTCAATGGCATTAATTGTTAACAATGAAATAATACCAATGGATATTATAATTATGATAATATTTAAATATAATAATTAAATTAAGTACAAATTCAATGTATGCCCGTTTTCCATAATTTTTTTAGAAGTATTTTATATAAAAAAAAAATGAATGCAATGAATAAATATATTTTAGTTTTAACAAGACATTTAATTTTGAATATTTTATATAAAATACTCGATTTGACTAATCATTGTTTGCACGATAATCCCCCCCCCCAAAAAAAACACATTATTATTATTATGAATAATTTTTTCGATAAATTAGAACTTCATGCATTATAAAAAAAATTTTAACAAATATGAGTGTTTATATACATTTTTTATATTTTGAATGGTAATAGCTAGAGTTCGGATGTTAATGACTTTGCATATTTTTTTAAATCTAAGTCATTCGATAAGCAATTCTTTAAGCTTTTCATTGACATATAATTATTAAGTGAACACGCCTCGGAATTTTTTCAAAAGTACAAAAATCCGAGCACCGGTCTGAGAATACATATTGTTTACTATTGAATATATTGCCCAGTAATTTCTGTCATACGGGTTACTTGGACACTCGAGTATCCTTTGGGACTTATGCCATTCGATAATATATTATTATTAAGTGAACACGCCTCGGAACTTCTTCAAAAGTACAAAAAACCGAGCTTTTGTCGATAGTAACAGTGATCACACAGCTATATATTGTTTATTACCTCAAATTTTGTCGATCAATTTTTGTCATACGGGTTACTTGGACACTCGAGTACCATTTTTAACTTATACCAATCGATAGGAAATTTTATAAACTTTTATTTGGATTATAATTTTTAAATGAATACTCCTCCAAACTTTGTCAAAATATAACATTTTTTTAAACTAATTGACGCCCTCTAGCTGTGTATATTCTAATTATATTTGATTAGAAATTGCTATAAAGGAATTGCTAACTTCATAAGTCGTTAATATTTGAGGTTAGTCTTGTATGTTGATAAAGTTATTTCTTCATTTTATAGTTTTCAGTTCACACTTTTATATACGTTGATACAACTATTAGTATTTTTTAATAATATATATTATATTTACAAAAAAAATTATGGCTCAAAATAAAATGAACGACTTTGTGAATAAAATGGGTGCATCTAAAGGTTTAAGTATTGGAGTTAAACTTGCTGCTGGTGTTGGTGCAGTAGCTTATGGTTTAGCTAATTCAATGTTTACCGGTAAAATTTATTTAACATTTAAATTATTCTAAATTATCTACGTTTTTTAATATTTAATATTTTATTAATTATTCTGTTTTATTATAGTTGAAGGTGGTCATCGGGCTATTATGTTTAATCGTGTTGGTGGAATTCAAAAACAAGTTTTCCCTGAAGGATTACATTTTCGTCTTCCTTGGTTTCAATATCCTATTATATATGATATAAGATCAAGACCTCGTAAAATATCTTCACCTACCGGGTCAAAGGATTTGCAAATGGTACAGTTTAATATTTAATTATTTTAAGAGAACCTATTTTATTAAAAATCATAAACTAATGTAACAATTTTTAAATATTTATTAGGTTAACATTTCTTTAAGAGTTTTATCAAGACCTGATGCTGCTAGATTACCTGATATGTATCAACATTTGGGACTTGATTATGATGAAAAAGTTTTGCCTTCAATTTGTAATGAAGTACTAAAATCAGTTGTTGCAAAATATAATGCTTCTCAGCTTATCACTCAAAGACAGCAGGTTCTTTTTCATTATTAATTAATTTATTATTAATTTTTATTATTACCAAATAAATTGGTTTTTAGGTATCTCTACTTATTAGAAAGCAACTTGTAGATCGTGCTCGTGATTTCAATATTATATTAGATGATGTTTCTATTACTGAATTAAGTTTTGGTAAAGAATATACAGCAGCTGTCGAAGCAAAACAAGTAGCACATCAAGAAGCACAGCGAGCTGTATTCTTCGTAGAACGTGCTAAACAAGAACGTCAACAGAAAATTTTACAAGCTGAAGGAGAAGCCGAAGCTGCTAAAATGATATCCTTTTTATACTATGATAAATTTATTAAATTTCACTAATATATTTTATTTTCATATATAAATATTCACTTTTTAAAAATGTTTTAAAAATTATTAATAATTAATTTAACTTAACTAAGTATTTTGCTCACATAGGAGAAGCTATAGGAAGAAATCCCGGTTATTTGAAACTACGTAAAATCAGAGCAGCACAGACAATTTCTCGAACGGTGAGTAATATAATAATTTTTTTTTAATTATATGCAGTATCTTAAAAAGTAATTTTTATTTTTCTATTTACTATTTTCAAAATATTAATAACTAATTTTTAAAAAATATTTATTTTAAATTAAAATCTAATAATAAATTTTTAGTTAAACTTAAAACATATTAATTAAAATTTAGTTAAAACTACATTTTTGTATAATAATTTAGTAATATGGTGTATTTAGGGATAGATTAAGTAAGTTGGAGTTGGGTTTAGCCCCTCTCTTTCTAGTGATGAATTTGATATTTATATGCCTCCCACCTAAAATACTTGTAAAAAGAGGACATACAAATTTATTTACCTTACAAGTATCAAAAAATAGAGTACAACATTAATTTAATAATGTTTAACTACTATTTAAAATAATTTTTTAAAATTTTTGTTGAAAGATTTTATAATTAGATTAAGCATTTGTATTTAGATTTTGAATTTAACTGAATTTACAACCATTCTTTTATTATGTGGTTTTATCTATTAGTATTTGTATGTAACAAACTAACTATTACTATTGTACATTACAATTACATAGTAAGTTTTATGTATAATCGTGTAAGGTTTGGTTGTATCTTAATTTTTATTCTATATTTTATTTTAGAATGATTTATTAAAATTTAACTTAATGTTTTATTTAAATTAACTTTTATAGATTGCTAACTCTCAAAACAAAGTATTTCTGAATGGCAATGGTCTAATGTTAAATATTAGTGATCCAGCATTTGATGAACAAAGCGATAAATTGAAAAGTAAGAAGTAGACTGGATGAATTATATTAATATAGTGTAGTAAATTAAAAAGCATTTTTATTTGTATGTATTCCATAATAAATGTTGTTTTGGTAATTAATATTTTATTCAGTTTGTAAAAAATACTCATGATAAGTTAAAGATATAATAAAACTTTATGTTAGAAAAAATTTGTCGATGATAGTTTTTGTCATTATTTTAGGCGAATTGTATAACTTAGTGCCCAAAAATGAACCAATTAATAATGATCAATCCTTCGAAAATGTTGACATTGTTGCACATAAAACTGTTAATGACCTAATGAGGTAAAAATAACAAAAAAAAAAGAACTTTTTGTTTAGTATATAACTTACTTTCCTTAAAAATACTATTCATTCACTTTATTATTCATATTGAGTTATTATTATTTTTACTTTTTATGAACAAATATTAAGAAATATTTTATAAATCTGTTGAGAATTTAAACTTACATTTATTAACCATGAAATAGTTAATATTATACTGTTTTTATGTAAATATGAATTATTTAATACTCGCATAATAAACTTCAAAAAATCAACACCATAATAGATTTCTTTATAATGTCCTATTTAATAAATATTTTTATAATATACTTTTAAAATTTTTCTATATATTTTTTTATCAATTAAAAATATTTAAAAAGATAGTATTACAGTTAGTGAGTTTCTTCAAAGTTTTAATAAATTAAATAACTTATTCAATATTTTATAAATTTTAAAAATAGTTAAAATATAGATGTAAATTAAAAAATTCTTCACTTCCTTGCAGTATTATATTTTAAAATCCATTGCATTTAGAAAAAAAAGTTTTTTAGTTTTATTAAATGTTTGAAAAGTTTTTCTATCCTAAGAAACATAGAATCTATCCCTCAAATGTAAATCAAAATATTTTTAACAGAGCTTATTACAATTTTAAGTACTATCAAAATAAACGGAAACTATTTGTTTTAATATTAGCTAACTATACACAATAAAACCATTTTTTACGTATAAAAAAACACAATTAAACTACCACTTAGTTTTACAAAAAAATAAAATATTTAAAACACTGGATTTGAGGCAAATGATGTATTTATTGTGTTGATTTTTCATAGATTTTTTGATAGATTATTAACTAAAGGGATTTCTAATTTGAAAAATTGACAATATAAACATATAAGTTATCCATCTTGCTAAAAGCAAATCCATTTATTTATTTTTCTTTTTTTGATATTTCAAAAAATATTTTTCACTACGACTATTTCCTCTATGCGTTAAACACAAGTTTTGACTGAAGATTGGCAGCAATTGTAAAATATTGAAATTTTAGTTCATAATGTGAAGATCATAAGTGGTTAATTATTTTGTTGTTTTAATAGTATGGATTAAGTAAGACTAAATTTTTTTTCATTATGCATAAAGCCTAAACCAGTTTTTCTAAGCGCAAAAGCTACTTTGTCAATTTGCACTATATATGTACGACTTTCTAAAGATATAATGTAAATATTTGCATTACAAGGGACATATATTGACAAGTTCTATATAAAACAGATATAGTAATTCTTAAAGATAAGGTTGTCAGATAGTTGTAAGAAATAATCATATGACGTTAGCTATTTTCTCAATAAATTGCAACGAAAAAACTAGCACCTTAATAGTGGCTGTATTTTGTAACACGGTTTAAAGCACAAGCAAAATTTTAAATGTTATTATTGGTCAAAAATTATTTTAAAAAATCTTCAAAATAATGTAAAATAACCTTCAAACAATTTAGATTTAACTATTTATTTTTATAAACTCTTTTCTTTTTACTTATTTATATTTAAAGACAAAAACTAAAATAATTACAATTACGATAAATAATTCTGGAACCTGATTATGATTTAAAAGTTAATATATAACAATAATTAATTTTTGAGAAAAAATAGTGTCCTCTTTTTTTTTTTCTCGCCTTTATCTCAACTACTTGGGGTGGACCATCCTTATCCTAAACTTCCACATAGCACGATCTCCCACATCATCTACTCATACATCAGCTGCCCTCTTATCGCATTCAATAACATCCATTCATCTCTTTTGGTTTTCTTTTACTTCTTTTTCCTTTAACTTATATTTCCATAATATTTTTTACAGCTTGCGATTTCTCCCTCCTCATAAAATGACCAATCATCGAAGTCCATTTTCTCTGATTAAAATAACTTAGATAACTTCACTAACATATCTTATAGTATAATTTTAAATTAATAAAATGATTTAAATGAAAAAAAAAATCTGAAGTGTGAAAATTAACAATGTTTGTTTTCTATTTAATCACAATTGTTTGATGTTTCTCTATGTTCAGAGAACGTTGAAACCTATAAATTAATTTAAAATTTTTCGTTAATTACATTAACTATTCAAGTATCATTTCCCCTTTTTCATAATATTTTTAAAATACTTTTAACTTTTATTACTTAATTGGATTCATCATTGACGTTTAATGAGATTACGTTTAAGTACAATTTTCGTTATTTCAATTGGGTAACTTTTAACAACAAATTATACACTTAAGTATTTCATTTATGCATCATATATTTAAATCAGATGAAACACAAGCATAAACAACACATGTTATAAGTATTATAACTAAAGTTGTATAGTTAAGTACACACAATCACAGAAAACAATTATAACTAAATTATAAAATTAATAAATGATTAAAATAAACAATTGAGCTAATAAAAAACAATTTGCATAAGTTCTGAAACGAAGAAAATCAACTGAAAATAAAAGTTTAACATGATAAACATTAGGAACCAATATAAAAATGTATGCTAAATACAATATAATAAATATTAATGTATAATCACTTAGTAAAATATTATACAACGATGTAAAACTGAATAATTTAAAATGGTCATTGAAAACCTTTAGGGAATATGTGTACACTTTACATTGTTTTAAGCTTATATCTTAACTTCATTACTTTAGAATTTATAAAATGAGAATTTTGGACCCATATTATTGAATAATAATTTTGTCTTATATTTTGAAGTTAATTGATTAATTTACGACGTGATGTAATATTATTGTCAATCGTATCCTGTTTTACATTTAAAAAAGCTCCTGTTTGAAGGCATGTATTTATTCAATTATAAATAAATAATATATCATTGTCAAACTGCGTTAAATTTTTTTATATTGTATTTTGTTCGCGAAAACTACTTAATGATAAACAACGTACAAAAAAAAAAATAGTGTTTTAATTATACAAAAATTTAGATAGATAGTATGATTAAATTATCAATTTGGCAATGAATGAGAACTTTCGGAATTAATAGACCGCCAATCAATGGGGGTCGACCATGGCAATCATACAGACGTAGCGGTTGATTTAAGGGGAGAATGAGTTACTGATGAGGTCCCCAAATTGCACTGAACTATAGGTGCAGCACTCAATTTATTTTCCATGTTAAAACAGTATAGTAATGCAGCACCAACTGAACTGCGCCTGGTTGGCATTGGTGTTGACATTGTCCAACGGTTTGTTCGTGGATCGTAACGTTCTGTGGAGTGTAAACTTGAATTGCTGTCGTTTCCTCCTAACACTAACAGTCCACCGTCCAGCTCAACCACGTCATGTGTAGCTCTATGTAATTCAAATTTTTGAATATAAGGCATAAGTATATTATTATAGAATTAATTTTACCTTCGGCATTGCATAGTGGCTATAGGCTCCCATGCATTTCTTCTTATATTGAATCGTTCGCCGCTAGACATACACATGGTGCCATCATTCCCACCAACACAATACAACATATCATCTAACGTGGCTACTGCACAACTACTACGTCTACTGCTCATTGACGGTACACTCATCCATTTACCCATCCTTGGATCATATCTTTCAACGCTTGATTGATAATTGGTTGAGTCAAATCCACCCAATGCGTACAAACAATTATCTAAATACAACAAAATGATAATTACCATCATCAAAGGTTTGTACGGTTTTTATGTAGGTTATAGAACTAACCGACGACTGAAACTCGACAATATCTTCTACGAGTCGTCATACTTGGACATGAAGTCCAAACTCCTGTAAGTGGATCATATCGCTCAACACTGCTTAAACAAGATGCTCCATCGAAACCACCACAAACATATAAAAGACCGTGGTTAGCACTAATTCCTAAACAACTTCTTTTGGTTCCTAGGGACGTAACGGATGACCACTTGTTGTAGTTAGGATCGTAACATTCTGCTGATGACAAGTCAACAATACCATCATACCTAATTAATTGTAAAAATCGATTAATTATTGACATTAGGAAAAACTAGAAACATGTAATTTTGTCTATTGACAAAACTTGTACTTTAGTTTTTATTGTAATTATAAATTAAAAAGTCACGATTATTTTATAATTATAACTTTGTATACAGTTAAATATATTTTAACATAATTTTTTCAAATTACCCTCCTATAGCATATATCAATTTTCCTAGTGAAACTATACCCGCACGACTTCTACATTTAGACATTGGCGCAATGGGAAGCCATCGGTCATGTCTCGGGTTGTAACATTCACCCGCACTGTGTATGGTAAACAAACTACCGCCTCCTGTAATTTAAGTTATATATTAAGTGAATGTATTAAAAGTAATACATTCATCTAAAGAATGTACCTACCAATTGCAAATATATATGGCATTAAACCATCTGGACTCCTTTGTTCGGTTTGTTTGCTAGCAAAATCAGACCTTTGATCGGGTAATAAGTGATATTTCATGGCACCTAATAATAAATCTTTGCAACTGGGTTCACTACGCACTAAAGGTTCAGTTTCAACTACGTTAAGCAAAAACATTTTGGACATTTGAGCTAATCGCACATGTCCCAATAGCTGAAATATACATGGTAAAAATAAATTATAATATAAGATTTTATAAATATAATTTATTTTAATTTCATAAAAGTTTTAAAATTACTCTAGCAATGTATTGAGATCGTTCATTTGGATCATGTTTTATCCAATCCATAATGGCCACAAATACTTGTTCTTCTGACACTACGTTCAATTTGTCATTTGATATTAAATCTTCTACCTAAATGCAAAATAATGTGATACTTTTTTAATTAATATTTATTATCTTATTTGTTGATTGTTATCATATATTATAAGTTAGAATATTTTAGCGCAATACAATAAGTGTTTCTTTAAAATTATTTACAAATGTAGCAAATTAAGGAGTTTTATGTATGCAACTCAACCATTATAATTATGAATGATGTTTCGTGATTCTCGAGCTTAAATAAAAAGTTTTAAGTATTCAGTTTTCAATAATTTTTTGGTAAACAATTATGTCACTTAAAATCAACATAATGTAAAAATTAAAAACACAAAAATTTATACTCAACATTTCCAAGATTATATAAATTAGTATTCTATATCAACAGATTATAAAGCTTATATAAAATCATAACTATATATATAAAAAACAACATTAAAGACTTTATTTAACTTATTTCAATGGGGAGAAATATGTATTAAAGTTTTCTTTCACATATCAAAACCTCAAGTCAATCGATAAAGGCCATTGAAAAAAAATCAACTAGATGAAAACATACGACAATATTTCATTAATTTTTTATACATTTCATTATTATTTGATAAAGACAATTATAAAATAAAAGTTTTATCATGTTAACATGATTTTAATCAAGAAAAATGGAAAACATCGTAAAGCCATAATTTAAACACGGCATTTGAAAAAAGAAACTGACAGGAAAAATTCTCATTAATTTCCCAACCCGTAGTACTACACTAACCATTACGCTATTGTGTGTATACACTTTACAATATCACCCTAAATATAATGTACAATTTCCCCGTAAAAGGGATTGCCCTATCTCTCTTAGCAGTCAGAGGCCCTAACACTATAATTTTTCGAATATCGTTGAAATGGCTTTGACCTCTTAAGTATTGGAACCAGACAGGATTTATACTACTTTCTCGTTTAACTAAGTTAGAACAAAAGGTCAGCGTTATATTGATTACCTCGGAAAATGATAAAAACAAAAATTCTTCAGTTTTCACAACTTCTTCAAAATTTTGGAGGGCGTACCGATGTGATCTTGATCTTAATTCATTGCATGAATGTGTTTCTATAAAAAAAAAAAAACATATTTAATTAACAATTCTAAAGAAATGATCGTAACTAAGTCCATATTTTGAATTTTTCTGATTGTAAAATATATTAATAGAACACATTTTTTCTATGTAAAATTCCCATAAAACTTCAGTGTGGATTTTATAGTCAATTAGATCAGAAATCATAAAAAAATTTTATGCAGAAATTATTGTTATATAAAATTTGTTTAATTACCAGCAAACTGTCTAATACCCAAACAATTCGTAGGGTGCAACTGTTTCATTAAAAATGTACAACATGCATCTCGAACAGAGTTGATTTGGAGTAAAGATGACGCCGGTAATAGAACCTGCGAATAAAAATGTCAACAATTTTAAGTTTAAACAATAATACGTGTGGTATATTTTTACTAAGGAAACATTACCACCTTATACAATGTCAACTTAAAGAAATTTGGACCTAAACTGTATACAAAGAGACGTTTATCATGTTAAAGTTCATATACAAATGCCATGTTGATGTCTTTAGTTAATAACCCAAGTAAGGTCATTGAAAAGACTTTTTCTTTAGACGAAAATGTTTTAAATAAAATTAAGTTAATCTCATTACATTAAAATCACGACTTCATAAAAATAGATGGCAAATTCAAAACATATTGCATGTTTGATATAAATAACAATTAAAATAATGATAGACTTGCAAGTGGATATAGAAAACACCGATGTATTAGATTGTTATTTAGGGTTGCTCAATATTATAGGAGTTTGAAAAATAATGTTTTCTTAGGCAAAAAAATGGGTCACAAAAAGCTAAAAAGGTATACAATTTAAAACTAATGTGATTAGTATTAAAAGACTTCCGGAAACCAAAATGTATTTGTTATTACATCAATATAGTTGTTATTTATTAGTAGTTTTATTAGATTGACTTAAACATAAAAATCTATTAGTCTTTCTATTTATAGCTAAGCAATAACATTATTTTTTATTTTACTACTTTTGTTGGAATATATTTCCAATTATGTCCGCTATCGTAGATTTTATGTATTTTTGGTGTCTAAAAAGTATCGGATTTCCAATAATAAACTAAATTGAACAAACAATGACCCATAAAAAGATTATTTTATTTCGAAATGTTTTGTTCTATATGATCTAATTAAAAAATAAATATGTTTAATTTGCGATATATCACTTTTGAACAAATAATTAATGTGTGTCTTAAAATATTAAATCGGTGTTATGCAAATTCAGAAGTATAAGTTTTTAGTCATCGCACCTGCACGTTTTCATCAGTGATGTGTACTTGACCGGTGTATGAGTATTCCACTAAAAGCTGTAGAGCGCTCAAATCAACATCGTGCAATACAACTTCGGATTGTAATTTCTCTGCCATGTCATCTGTTTGTAAATCAAAGAAAATATTGTTTTAATTGGCAAAACTACTAAAATGCTAAACAAATAAATAGCTTACCGTTAAACATTGCATAGAAATAAGGACTACACGAAGCCAAAACCAAGCGGTGAGCTTTAGTGACACTAGATCCGATCCGAAGAGAAACATCACATAACTTAAACAAAGATTGTATTTTTAGAAATACAATTATTGTGGCAATGTATAGTGAAACATTTAATTCAACCAGTAACATTCATGTATACCTGAATATTGATGCGCATTTTATTGATCACAGAAAATGATGAGATGGGATGTTCCGGATCATGGTGCAAGTAACACGACACGGGTTCTGGTGATGAGCAAGTAGGGGTCTCTTCAATAGCTTCCTCTAATTCTAAAATTTACAAAATAACTAAATTAAGATGCGTTCAAATGAAGCGTTAACATTCTGTGTAAATATTTTATGTAATGCAGATTATTCGAAACAAGCATTGTACTTTTAGTGGTCATAAACTGTTTCCAGTAAAAATTATTACTATCCTTTCTTTGTATATATCAAAGTTTTAAAAGTTGCCAGACGGCGGCTGGCAACGGCATGGCGCCACAGGGGATCCGTCTGTAATTTCAGTGCACACGAGGTCGACTATTACTATTCAGGATAAGCGTCTAAATTTTCTTGTAATATTTGGTAACAGACATCACTTTAAGGATAACAGTCTTGTGCAACACAATTTTGTGAAATATTTACAAAATTTAGGCACACACAGTGACGTAAATAGGAGAACGCAAAGAATGCGTCTGTATCTAAATCTAAGAAGCCTTTTTTTACTTTCCAAAGTACTCATATATATTTGTTTTTACATATCAACTGGATTGGAAAGCGGCATTTTATGTTTCTTGCGTTGTGGCCAAATTTGTAGCTGCCTAAACATTTCAATTAATTCTTGATCGATTAAATAATTACGTCACTTTCAATGTAATATAACTAATAACTCCACATAAAATTATCATGGACATTATTAGTATTTTTATCTCCTTATATCAATGTTTCCAAAAAATAAATACATTTTTTATTCATTAAAAAATGATTACTTTTAATTAACTAAAAATAAGTTCTAATAAATAAAGAATAAAATAGAATTCATAATGATATGTAATCTCCAATAAAATTGTCTAATTATCATTGAATAAACACTTTAAATTTCAGGAAAAATGTATGATGTTAAATATTTACTACTTTCATTCTATTTTATCCATTTTACATGTATGACCTTTGAATATTGTAAAATTTTATTTTAGTATTATAATTTAAATCCAGAGAATATTTTTGTAATACTTTTTACCATGAGTATCATTCAAAATATTTATTTTACTTAATGGTTCATATTTTCATGAAATGTTGTATTTTTTACACAGATCCAAACATCTTTTATTCTAAAAAGACGTTCTAGCATCCTTATATTTAATGATTTTAAATTTTATTGTAAGTTGATAAATAGATAATACTTTAAAAAGATACAAACAATTGTTTTAGTCTTAATAGCTCAAAACATTTTAGAAATAAAATTAAAATATGTAACATAAATTAGTTAATATTTTAGTAAAAAGTTTTGAACAATTTAATATTAAGAGAAAATTAAACTGATGTTTGATTAAACGAATCAAACATCAATCATCTAGAATACATTGTCTACAAACGAATTACTCTTATTAAGGTATAAAAAAATCCTATTGGATCACAATTATAATTACATTGATAAATTATTGTGATAAACAAATTTGTGTATACATTAAACATGTGGTTATACATAAAATAAAGGAGCTGACAAATTCTGAGACAAAATTGGACTAGTACCAATAGGAAGAGTGATATCTTATATATTATTCTATGTAATTATGCTTTACATCGCGCAGTATTGTTGTAAGATGTTTTTGTTGAGTAATTAATTACATCATAAGTTTTGTTCTTCGTTAGTCGTTATCGTTATTCACATACACAAGAAGAAATTATTATTTATTTTTATTTTCTATAAAGACAACCTTCAACACTAGTAGGTTACGATTTACAACAAAAAAATGGTTATTTTAGTAACATAACAAAGACACAAAGGAAATATTATTAATTTTTAATTAATTATCAGTTAACGTGTGTACTCATAATGATTCTAATGATGTACTATAATGAAGTGAGCAACAATTTTTATAAATAGCATCACCAAACCCACCCAACCCGATTAACGGTGTAGGAACAACAGATTCATTAAAGCTTGTAGAATTTCAAAAACTCAGAAATTCATAAGCACATATGTTTTTTTTAATTTCACATTATTTCTATATAAACAAAACTTATAGGGAAAATAAAACATATTCTATTTTTAATGGAGCGTTATTTAATAGCTTTTATTCGTCATGTTTAGTCTAAATCTTTATCTTATGAGAAATTACAAGAAATTGCGAATTTTGGCTTTAAACCTAGTCAGTATCCAGAAAATTAAATAATGTTACTATATACTAATTCCGTTAAATTTTTAAAGCAAAATAACTCTAACCATACAGAAAGTTTTGATTATTTATTTTTGTGGTATTGTGGAAATAAAGTATACATAGAGCTTTTCTCCGAAATAAATATTGATTTTAGGCCCACGCACAGAATCCGCTAGTCGTGCTATCCGTTTTGGCCAATTTACAGAATATAACCTTTGATGGTTTTCTCAATAAATTATCACATAATGGAAACTTTAGATATTATAAATTTCAGTTAAAATTTTTAACATTGAGTTTATTTATTTAGCCAATTAAGGTACTTTTAGTATTTGTACCCTTAATTATAATCAATGAATATGTTTATTTCAAACACTTGAATGTACAATTTTATTAAGAGATACGAGGCGAAGTCTTCATTATTTTAGTTTAATATTATAAAAATAGTTATTTACTCGTTTAGACTAGAAAGTTTTATAGTTGACATTTTTTCGTAATTAAGAACAATCAAAAATAATTTTTTAACATAATATATTTTTAACTATTTCAAACCTTTAAATTATAGATCAATTAATTAATATAATATTATTAACTAAAAATTCTTTTAACTTTTAATAATAAACAATAAAAAAATTATTATTTAACAATCATTAGAAATCTGATTGTTTCATAACAAGTACATAATACACAATTTAATGAATATATCTCTTTAAGAATAATGAAAATTAGATATCATTCTAGTGCAATACATTTTTTACTACTATATGAAAACAAATTTTAATTTAAAATACTATTTTAGTATCACTAGAAGAATGTAAATTATTGTTAAAATAATTGTAGCTCCAAAATTTTAAACTAAAATTCAAATTGAAAGTAAAATTAAAGATAAAAAATTACCATGTTGGGGTCCGGTATAGTAGACTTCAGTTTGGATTGAAATTTGACAGAGATTAACATCACTAGCATAGAATACTTGGATACAATTATTTATAAAAAAAGACTAGAAAAATTTTTTTTTTTTGATTTTTAGGGAAATTTTACAAGTTTACCTTTGGCCGCCTTTAACTTTAAGAACAAAAGTTATTAGGGTGTTTTTCTTTTTAATGTCATAGAATAAACTTAAATTTTAATTACGATTAAAGAACACAGATGTTCCGGAGCATAATCAAAATTCGATGTGTTGCTAAATTTGACAAAAATAATTTTTTCGTAAAAAGAAATTAACATGATTAATTTTGCTAAACAGCATTGAATTTTAAAATTTAGCGACATTTTCCATATTTTTAAATCATACGCAATAAGATGAAATAAAAAGCTTCACGTATTAGTTTTCAAGGCTGGATAAATTAATGATTATTAATAATAAGTTAGATATAAAAACTTCAAGATTTCACTCGTCATGAAGTACCAGCACTGGCTGGCCTCTTCTATCAAGCATTCTGTCTCTATATATTTTATATATTTGCTTAACATAAACATCATTCGTGCTTATTGTAATTAAATTTATTACAGATTGTACGATTCCAAATAAAAAAATATTTATATATATATATATATAAAATTAACAAGTTAAAGTTAATCTGTTTAAAATAAATTATGTTAAAATTCAAGTTGGCGATACCTCATTAATATTGAGCAAGAGAGGAATGATGTTAACGTAAAATCCAGATATCTCCGTTAAGCTAAGAAGTATAATTTAAATTAACTTATTAACTCGATTACGACCAGCCTTGTTAGTGTACAGAAAAACTAAAGAACTTTGGTTAATAATTACAGACTTCATGTATGTAAATTTCCTAATTTAAAGTTTTCAGTATCAAATATTGATTTAATGATATCACACTCCGAAAAGTACACAATGTATAATTCTGAGATCAATTAATATTTTTATTTGTACATCGTACACAATTCATCTGTCATATTGTTGATAACCGAAAAACTTTGGAGTTTGAGAGAACACGGCCGACTACCTGTCAAAACTTCCAAGGGCGCTACGCATGCGGGTGATAATGGTAGTTGTAGTACAAAAGGGAAGTTCTCAGCTGTAGCTGTTTCAACTTACAGTGTCAACGCCCTGATGCATAGAGCTGGTTATACGCTACAAACGAGGGTGTAGTAGTGTTAATGCCCTCTAAAGTCGTCTAATATAATTACGGTTACATTAACATACACGGAGACTATTAAATATTTATCATTTAGAAACAATTTAATTAATATAAAGTGTAGTCTCCGAAACAACGCAAACATATCAAGTAACTCGGTTGATTGATTGCTTCAAATTGTCACTTTTCACGCTCAGTATATGAAATATAAATATTTATTTCAATGAAAAATTACGGTTACATTTATTTTATAGGAATAATATATATATTCGATAAAAATAGGTTCAACGTATGTCAATTGTCAACAGAAGAATTCACAGTGTTAGGTCATTGCCAAGGACGGCCACAACACCTACACCGTTTATAACAAATTATCAATGTCATTTTGTTAGTTTTGTAAACTATACCAATTTACAATTACTCGACAACTTTTTTTATATTTTCGGGTGACTAACCTCGATACCATAAATAATTAAACCGTATACATTATAATACGCCTATAGCTAAAAAACATAGGCATTCAAACATGTTAGACAAATCGTGTGTATAATTGCTCACTAGTTCCTCTTTTAATGAATATTTAGCCTTTTTTACTCATCACGCCATCTTAATTTAAATCTTTCCTCGTGCAGTCAAATCAATTGCATGCACTTTCTCGTACGAATAAATCAATTTAAAAATAATTTAACAAAACTATCTATTTAAGCATGACAAAGGTTTCTTCGAGCTACTCCACAGATGGCATTGTTGCGTTTTAAATATTTTTATGTAAAATACAACCAAATTTTAAATGTATGTCATTTTTTAAAAC